CCTGCAGCAGAGGGAGAGGGGACGGGTGACAGAGGCCCTTGCTGAGGGCAGATGGCTGCACCCAGCCCTGCCACCCCCCACCTGCATAGGGGATGCGGAGCCAAGGTGCATGGAAGGTGCTGTTGGCCCAGGACAGCTGTGCCATGGCCAGGTCCAGCGATTCCCAGGGGACGTGGAGATGGCTGAGGATGGCACAAACAATGCAGACACCAGCAAATGGGAGCAGTACCTGTAAGGCAGCAAGGGGAACCTCAGCAGGGAATTCTCCTCCCCTGGCCAGCACCCCACTTGCTGTGCCCCAGACAACAGGCTCTTGTCCTGTCACTTCCCAAGGAGCCATGCCACATCTCCCCTTAGCTCCACAGGGAGCATGCCAGGCTCTGTTGCTCCAACACCCTTGAGCACAGGTCCCCTGTGCTCCCCCAGCAGCACCCACACCCCAGGAGCTGCACTAGGACTTCGCCCTGCCTCTGCTCCCAGCACCCAGCTCTGCTCCAGGCCCACTAACCCCGCACCGAAGCCAGGCTTGGAGAGAAGCCTGGGTGCAGCAGAGGGGGCAGGGGCAGACAAGCCATGGTACCGAGAATGTGCGCAGGGTGGGGACAGGTGGCTCCATGGAGCCCCTCTGAGCCTGGGGCCAGGTGCAGAAGGGCAGGCGGCAGGACCCCAGGTGCTGGGAGAAGGTGACAGTGAGGAGCACAAGCCTAGGAGAAGGAACATAGGTCACCATGCAGCATCGCAGCAATGGGGCCCCAAATGCATGTGATGCACCACAAGGATACCCCATTCCTGTCCCCGTGGGGAAGCAAAGCCCCAGGGGCTGCACACTGGCATGGCCCCCAGGCTCACATACAGCAGAGCTACCCCCCAGTTAGTGGAGCAGAAGAAAGCGGCCTCCTGGTACGCAGACAGCCCGATGATGGAGAGGCTGGGGGCCAGGACCATGGGCCCGCAGTGCTGGGCTGCCCACCCACACATGCCGGACACTCCCAGCACCAGCTGAACCAGCCCAGAGACCAGCACGGCTCCAGAGACCTGTGGGAGGAAAGGATGGGACCCGTGGGGCAGGATACATGGAAAGCAGCCCAACACCCCGTCTTGGCCACACTCCCACCTCCCCAGTAGCATCACCCATTCCCTGTGCTCCAGCTGTGCTCCGCTCACCCCAAGCCCAGGAGAACACGTGCACCATGACCTCTGTTGCCTTTGCATGTTCCCTTGTGTCCCCCCCTTATTCGTGGCAATCCCCAGGAGGGCTAGAAATGCGACCAGGGGAGCAGGGATGCAGGTGACAACTGGGGTGCTGCTGGAGCAGGAGGACGGGGACCCCCAGCCCAGCACAGGAGCACCCACCTCTCGCAGCGAGGCAGCCCAGCTCCCTGTGATGGTGCAGTGCGGTGCAGGGCACACGCTGGCCACGGCTGTGCCTGAAAGGGAATTTCGGAGGGACATTATGAGTATGTATGCTGGGTTCCTGGAGCTGGGTCCAAGAGCACGCAGCATGGAGGCTGCTGGCTGGAGAAGGGCCAGCGTGCCAGCATCCGCATCCCCATAAGCCCTGACCCTGGGGAGATGACCAGATGTGTTGTGGGTGCACTCAGATGAGTAGGGTGCTGTGCACCATCACCAGGGGGGCCAGGAGGCAGGATCCCTTGCTACCCCTCATCCCTACCCCCTGTGCTAGGCATCTCATCACTGCCATTCCCCTGGCACCGGCATGGCCCAGGCCCCATGGGATGCGGGCTCCAGGGCTGTGCTCACCGTTCCTGTCTGTGCTGGCACCAAGGGACAGGTGGGAGCTCAGCACCATGGCAGGGACCAGGTACTCGAAGGATGGGATCTGAACCAGCGGCAGCCTGGGGAAGGGGACAGCAAGGGCGTGTTAGGGAGGAAAGACAGGGCAGGGCTGCTCCCAAAGCCCTGGCTGCCAGAGGAGCAAGGGATGGGAAGGGAAGGAGATGAGAACCCAAAGCGGCAGGAGGTCACCCCATATCCCAAATGTGCCCTAGCTCATCCCAAGTGGCAGCACATGGGCTGTGCACAGAGGTCAGGGGCTTTGCCAAAGCACACACCCAGCCCTCCCGTGGGGTGTGGGCAGCACAGGCACCGGATGGTCTGGAGGAGCCGCATATGATGCCGGAGCAAGGCAGCGAGGAGCTAGAGGGAAAGCACCGCAGTTTTGCTAGAGGGCCATGTGAGAGGAGGATGCAGCGTGCGGAGATGCAGGGCAAGGGGTTGTCCTCGTGCCCCCTTCCACCTCCAGCAAAGCCTGTCTTCCCACAGCCTAGGAGGGGG